GTGCTTCGGGGTTTCTAATCTCCGCCTACATGAGTGGAAGTGGAAGAGCCCAACCAACTGAAAAATGTTGATATGCTAATCTCATGGATCCATTTGAGGAAAAAAATTATGAGTTGCACACCTAGTTAATGAACCTCTTAGTAGTGAACCAAAAAATTATACGACGGCTCCAAATTGAAAACTAGTACAAAAAATGGACTGCAATCTAATTATCGCTATCATTGACATCGAAAAAAAAAGAACTTGCACTCCTTTATAAGAGAGAAATTCCAGGCAACTACTTATATAGTGAAAACCAAGGTTTATATTATAGTGCTATTGTATTACATATTCCATATATCCAACAACATCGTAGCAAATTGCAAGAAACCATAAGCTACGTACAACGACAGTGAAACACAGTTATTCAACTCAAAACGCTTAATTATATAGCAAACATCATTATCCAATGTGATTACATGATTAATCACATCTTAATCACGTTATCACGTTGTTTATTAAACCACACTGTCTAGCAATTGGCAGGATGAGGAAGCCTGCACTTGGCAGGAAGCTGGAGGGCAAGGTTAGGGTCAATCCCTAGAGAAGGCAAGAGGTTGGAGTTCTTGTAGGAGCAAAGGCAGCCCATGTCGGCATGCGACAGCGCCGAGCAGCAGGCGGTTGTAGGCGGCGCCGGGTTCGGGGCGGTCACAGCTGGCCTGCAAGTCATCAAACCATTCATAGAGACATTGCATATGTTCTGAGCATCACAAACCTGAACAAAACCACCATTGCTTGCAAGTGCAACCAAAACCAAAGCCACAACAACTAGGAGCTTTTGATGAAAACCCTTCATGATCAAATACTGATTCTCTTTTACTTCTTTGGCGTGTGTGTGTGGATTTTAGGAGCTCCTAGTTGGTGGGTTTTATAGGGAAACCAAAGGATTATATTGGTGGGTTTTTATTTATTTATTGACAATAAAAAGAGCATTGGTGGGAGGGATAGGGAAGGAATGGGGCCATGCATGCAGCCCGTGAACCGAGAAATTGGCCATGCTGTAGAGTCACGGGATCAACATCTGTGATGGAGATAAGTCTTCAAGTAGTCCAACGCAATCTTTTGTCTGGATATCATTTGGTTTTATATTTTTAATCTACTTGCTCTTATTTTTATTCTTTTCTTCTTCGCTTGGTCAATAGATTTCATTGATTTTATAGAACACAATTGGATGTCAAAACGGTTTCCGATTTGTCTAATTTTTTGCAAAAATGATCTATGAATGTAGACTTAAAAAACAGTTGATTTGAATCATTGAAAAAATATTTGTAGAGAACCCCGAAAGGTGTCTCTCAAATAAAATTATTTAAAGAATCCTTCAATAAAAAGTAACTACATATACATATATATATTTACTTTCTTGACAAGAAAGGGTTATGACTTTTTTTTCTTGGCAGTTGGCCTACCGGCTGTCAATCTTGTTTGTTTTTGTAATTTGCCAAACTAATTAAAAATATATAATTTGTACGACATTATCTGATGAGTTCCAATATTAT